AGCTGATAAGTTGGCACCTAGAACAGAAGTACGGCTGTTTGTAGGTTACCCAAAGGGAACGAGAGGTGGTTACTTTTATAGTCCTAAAGATCAGAGGGTAGTGGTTAGCACCAATGCCCGATTTTTAGAAGATGACTATATGAGTGAGCATAAGTCCAAGAGTGATATTATTCTCAAAGAGTTGAGGGCAGACAATGGCATACCGAGTGTGCAAGAGGATATACCACAAGAGACTGCACAACGTGTTGACTCTGATGTATTTACACCTGAATTGCCTCGTCGTAGTGGGAGAGTTGTTCGTCAGCCCGATCGTTTCATGTTTGTGGGAGAGTCTTCAGACTTGATCCCAAGTGAAGAGCATGATAGTGATCCCTGGACCTACAATGAGGCCGTCCAAGACGTAGATGCAGATTCTTGGCAAAATCTATGGATTCTGAGATTGAATCTATAGATGTTATAGATGTATACGACCTTAGGGACCTTCTTGAAGGCAAGAAAGCCATTGAGTGCAAATGGGTTTATAGGCGTAAGAGAGGATCTGACGGGAAGGTTATTTCCTTCAAAGCACGGCTGGTTGCGAAGGGTTTCACTCAGAAAGAGGGAATCGATTATGATGAGACCTTCTCACCAGTAGCCATGCTTAAGTCGATCTGGATTCTCTTATCCATAGCAAGTCACACGGACTATGAGGTTTGGCAAATGGATGTCAAGACAGCTTTCCTTAATGGAAACTTGGATGAAGACATCTATATGCAGCAACTCGAGGGTTATTGAAGAAAGGCCAAGAGCATCGAGTATGGAAGCTAAAGAAGTCTCTTTATGGACTAAAACAAGCTTCTAGGTCTTGGAATATTCATTTTGACGAGGTGATCAAGTCCTATGGATTTGATCAATGTCAAGACGAAAGTTGTGTATACAAAAAGAGCAACGGAAACATAGTGGTATTCTTAGTACTATACGTAGATGATATTATTCTCATCGGCAACGATGTCAAGATTTTGTCAGACGTAAAGGTATGGCTTTCAGAACAGTTTCAAATGAAGGACTTGGGTGAGGCATCGTACATTCTTGGAATCAAGGTCATTCGTGACAGGAAGAAGAGAATGTTGTGTCTATCTCAAGCTGCTTACATTGGTACTGTGATTGCTCGTTTCAGCATGCAGAACTCCAAGAAAGGGTTGCTACCTTTTCGGCATGGAGTTCCTCTATCTAAGGATATGTGTCCGAAGACACAAAAGGAGATAGAGGAAATGGCTAAGGTTCCTTATGCTTCAGCTGTAGGAAGCCTTATGTATGTCATGTTGTGCACGAGACCTGATATGCATGGTTGCGAGATATCAGTCTAACCCTGGTCAAGGACATTGGACTGCGGTAAAGCATATTCTCATGTATCTAAAAAGAACTCGGGATTATATGCTTGTTTACTAGTCAGACGGTCTAACTCCTTTGGGTTACACAGATTCTGATTTCCAAGTTGATCGAGATAAGAGAAAGTCGACCTCGGGTTATGTGTTTATGATGGGAGGCAGAGCGATCTCATGGAGGAGTGTGAAGCAGAAATGCATCGCAGATTCTACCATGGAAGCCGAATACGTTGCTGCTTCAGAAGCAACAAAGGAGGCTGTTTGGCTCAGGAGCTTCTTACTGGACTTAGGGGTATCTTCGAGTGTGCCTAGGTGTATCACAATTTATTGTGACAACGCTGGTGCAGTCGCAAACTCGAGAGAACCCCGAGCACATAAGGCCAGTAAACACATCGAGAGAAAGTACCACCTTATACGAGAGATCGTAAAACGAGGAGATGTAGTTGTGACGAAGATAGCATCGTTGGATAACCTCGCTGATCCTTTCACGAAGACTCTGACTGTCAATGTCTTCGAGAAACACGTAGAGGGTCTTTGTTTACGATGTGTGGCAGCTAGACTTTGAGTATAAGTGGGAGAATTGTTATGACATGTGTTTATATACTAAAAGTTCAGCTTTAGTATAAGTGGGAGATTGTTGGGGTATACAGTAAAGCAGACTTTTATGTGAGCTTTTGGATTGTATTTATTCGATTTCTCATTCGACTGAAATAAATGTTTTCACATTGTTGCATTCTTTATGATTGCTTGTATGCTAAATGTCCAATTA